GGACCGGCGGCCCGGCGCGGCCCGTGAGCCTGCGGGAAGTCGTGCGCTACCTCGGGGGCAGCGGCGGCACTAGCGGCCGCCTAACCCGCGGCCGCGTGCAGGGTCTGCTGGAAGAGGAGGCAGCGGCGCGGGGCCGCCTGGAGCGCACTCGCCTCGGAGCGCTTGCGCTGCCCCGCGGGGACAGGCCCGGACGGGCGCCGCCCGCTGCCAGCTCCCGCGCGTCGCGGAGCAAGGTGAGCGCGCCGGGGAGGGAGGGTGTCGCGCGATGGGCAGGTGCGGGTGAAGTTGGTGGCGGGGTGGGGGGAGCGAGAATGGGAGTGGGGGCGCGCGAGTCCTCAGGGGCTTTGCGCGTCTTCCCTGGGGGCTCAGCGCGTGATGACCTTGGCAAGTGACTTAATCTTTTTTGAGACTCAGTTTACTCCCCTGTAAAACGGGATTTAATAACAGTAGCGACCCCTTGGGGTTGTTGAGCGAGTTTAGTGAGATTTGGCTACCAAGGGCTTTATTAACACAGAGCTTGGCACAGAGTGAATGCTTAAAAGTTAGTCCGTGGTGTTCTTAAAGGCCACATTAAACATACACCATTTGGGTTTGGATCCCAGGGAGTGGACTCAGAGCCAGAACAACTACTTAACCCTGTGTGCCTTTCTCTGTTACCAGAGAGGTGGAGAAGAGCCAGTGCTTGAGAAAGAAGAGGAGGAAGATGATGATGAAGAAGAAGATGATGAAGACGATGTGTCTGAGGGCTCTGAAGTGCCAGAAAGTGACCGCCCTGCAGGTGCGCAGCACCACCAGCTTAATGGCGAGCGGGGCCCTCAGATTGCCAAGGAGAAGATTAAGGAGTGGACACCCTGTGGACCCCACCAGGGCCAGGATGAAGGTCGAGGGCCAGCACCAGGCAGTGGCACCCGCCAAGTCTTTTCCATGGCCGGCATGAATAAGGAGGGGGGATCAGGTAAGGATCCCTCTGGATAGGAGAGGATGCCTGTGGGGAAGAAACAAACCCTAAGATGAATCCACAGGCGTATGCTTTTTCTTTACCAGCCTCTGCTGCCACTGGGCCAGACTCCCCATCCCCCGTGCCTTTGCCCCCAGGAAAACCAGCCCTGCCTGGGGCTGATGGGACCCCCTTTGGCTGTCCGTAAGTTGGGGTGTTTGAATATGGGGGTGCTGCCCATGTATATGTAACAGAATCATAGAGGCATCACTGCTCTCTGGTTCCCTCTGTCCTGACACAGTTCGGGGCGTAAGGAAAAGCCAGCAGACCCTGTAGAGTGGACAGTGATGGATGTGGTAGAGTACTTCACCGAGGCAGGCTTCCCTGAGCAAGCAACAGCTTTCCAAGAGCAGGTGAGTTCTCACCCCATTGAAAACAAGGGTCTCAGTGGACTCTGCTCTGACACTGTGCTCTCTGTCCTACCCAGGAAATCGATGGCAAGTCACTGTTGCTCATGCAGCGCACAGATGTGCTGACAGGGCTGTCCATCCGTCTGGGCCCAGCCCTGAAAATCTACGAGCACCACATCAAGGTGCTACAGCAAGGCCACTTTGAGGATGATGACCCTGATGGCTTTCTAGGCTGAATGTCCAGCTGTGCCCCTGCCCCAGCCCATTCTAGCCCCCCGTCTCACTCAAGACCCCCAGAATCCAGGAACTGGATGGGGGCACCCTCTGCGCCCTCGTAACGGATTCTAGTGAGGGGGGGTACCTCTCCTTACTCATCTCTTACCTATGTCTCCCCAACACACCGTACATCCTGTGCTCCATGATGGAGTGTGGGGTGGCACAGGGTCTACTCATTTTATCCCAGGAGGCCAACCCTACCCCCACTCTGTCCAGGACATTTTTGAAAAGAAAAAAAAAGTGGGGGCTTTCCATCTACCTAAATCCTTTTCAGTTCAGCCAGATGTTTCCTATATAAATGTTTTGTTCCGCCTGTTCATTTTGGTGGGTGGCCTTTCCCCCCTCCTCCTCACCCTTATCCCTCCCCATTCTGCCCCTGGCCTGCAGCCCCTGGAAACAGCTGGGGTTGGGTACCAGGGTATTCCCTCCTCCTCCTCCTCCCCTTCTTTATGTTGGTTGTCCCTCCAGCTGGCTGTATTGCTTTTTAATATTGCATCAGAAGTTTTTTAAATAAAGTTTTAAAGAAAAGAAAAAAATAATGAGTTCATTTTATGAATGGAGTGGGGGAAGGGTGTCAACCTCCTGGAAGGCTACAGGGTTGGGACAGGTAGTGTTTGAGGCTATTTCCACCTATTATAGTAACTGCTTCAGGAGAGCAGGAATATTTGCTTAGTTCTGTCATCTCCACCAGGCCCACAAAAACAATGGGTGGACATAGTAGGTGCTCAAATACTTAAATCCTTCAAACATTTTTTGGATGCTCTCAGCAGCCCATTGAGGCAGCTCACAATGACCCACTTTACAGACATGGCAACAGGCTCAGTACAGCAAAGATCTTCAGGGTGAGTTCTGACACCTGCTCTACTCAGCTTCCAAATACAATTAGGTATTTAGTTTAGTTTACATGCTACAAAGAATCCAGTCTACAACTGCTGGGGTCAGAGGTCTTTTCTGTGCCCTGGTAAATCTCCAGGGCCCAAGCGTCCTCCATAAAAGAAACAAGGGATTGGATAGCTGATGACATCATGGGATGGGAAAATACTTTCTAGTGAAGATTTTTATTGTTATTAGTAATAGTGATAATTACTACATCACACATCCCTGTTAAGTTCTACTGCAGTTTCTCCATTAGTTTTTAAATATATACAGATTCCGGGGTCTGGGAGTTTAATACTACGAAGGGGACTGGTGACGTCCTCTCTACCTGCGCACCAGGGTTTGGACAAGCGGTGGAGAGCCTTTCTCCCTAGGAAACCACCTCAGAGAGAGGACACCAGGGTGGCCTCACAGAGCGGCCTAGGTCGCCGCTGGGAACGCGTGCCCCACGCCCGACTTCAGGAGCGCGCGTGTGCGCGGGGCCCCGCGGGCGCGCGGCGCGCACTAGAGCAGAGCGCCCCTCCCGCGTGTTGAAATTCAAATGAGGCGAACTCCCTCCGAGCGGCGCGGTGCGGGCTGAGGTCTAGGCGCGGGTGAGTAGGCTGGAACCGCGCTCCCGGGCCGGGTTAGTCTGAGATTCCCGGGGAGGGGTCGAACCTGCGACCGGGGTGAACTGCCGGGGCTTGAAGAGCTCGGGTGTCCGCCTCCTCCACCCCCGCCACCCCCTCCCATGGCTAGCGAGCAGTGGTTTGTGGAGCCGCTTCCGTCCGGCCCTGGGAAAACGCCACCCCTGGACGACTTGGAACCTGGGGCACAGCCCTGCGGAGACCACTCTTGGTCGACGCCGCCTGGCCGACTTGGGGATCTACCGGAGACGGAGCCTGGGGACTCCCAGGGACTACTGCTGGCGCCGCCCACCTCCACGCCTTCCCCTGGGCCTCTAGCCCTGGGCTCTGGGCCCGCCCCTCCTCGCCTACCCTTGGACACCATGTTCAGCCCCATCACCGAACAGCTCCGCTACCTGCTCAAGAAGGCCGATGATTTCCAGAGCTACTTAATCTACAGGTGCTTCTGGATGGGGTCCTGGGTCCCCGTGAGGATGGAAGCAGACAACAGGGTGACAAGATGGGTGGTACACCAGAGTCACAAAATTTAAAAACATTTGAAGCCAGAGACAGTTAATGAAGCCAGCTGATTAGGAACCCAACTTTTAAAAAGAATGAGGACTGTATGGAATCTGGGAGCACCTCTTCTTATGTGGGTCTCTGTATTGCCAAATCTCTAGGACCTTTTTGCTCCCAGTCTTTTAACTGTTAGTTTAGGTTTTAACCTGGCGGCGGGACTGGGGTGGAGAGGGGGCAACTAAGCAAAACCTATTTGAGCCAGATCTAACCTTCTGGCTAGCAGTTTGATACCCCCTAAGATTAATGTGATTCCCAGCTCAGGGAATAAAGAATAGAAATTTTCACATTTCAGTGTCTATCGGAATCTCTTTGGAGGCTGTTTAAATCCTATCTTTCTGGGATCCACCCTGCAGGGAATTCTGGGTCAAAGTTGTTTGTGGGACTCAGGTGTTAGTATTTTAACAAGTGTTCCAAATGGTTTTGATGAGGGTGGTCCTGGTAAGGCCTGGCACTGGAGGATTTTGTAATGGGCAGGGGGATCCAGGGCAGGGAGACTAGGTGAAATAAACGGGGATGGAGGACTCCAAGCAAAGGCTTCCTTCTCCTTCAGCAGGGACAGAGTGCAGAAGGAACAGCTGGCAAAGGCCATGCCCACGTTCTTACAGATGTGTGAGCCCTACTTCTTATACCTGGAGGCAGCTGCTCGGAGTGTGCCCCCCATCTATGGAGCCCTGCAGGAACTTGTCCGAAAGGGGGTGTGTGAACAAGTTCCCTAGACCCCGTGACCCTTTCTCCATCCCTCAGTCTTCCCCTAAGACTAGTAAGGTAAGGGGAGGACTCCTGGAAGCCAGCTAATCTTACTATGCCTTCTTCCATGCAGCTGTTGGAGATCTCCCAACAGCTGACTCTGCGCCTGGAACAGCTGGTCCTCATGTATGCCTCCTTTGGGTTTGTGGGCTTGGAAGAGACTGACCCCCTGAGGTAAACACACACACACACACACACACACACAACTGGTTAGGAGACTGGGATTAGAGGGGAGGAATGGTAACATCCAGGACCCAGTATTCCCCACTTGCCCATCTCTTGCCAGCATTTCCTGCTTCTTCTGCGGGAGGTTCTCCATCAGTCCTTCCCATGAGGTGTCCATCTTCAGATACTGTGCCCCTGCAGCCTACACTGCCAGCCGCTTCCCCCGCTACCTTTATAAGAAGATGCGCTGGAACCTGGAAACTACCCCAGAGCCCAACGGTCGAGGGCAAGATTCCCATGTGGATTAGTGAGTCTTCCCCTCCCTATGTGGAGAACAAATACCACTAAAGTGTGGACAAGTAATCAGGAAACTAGGAAACTTTGAAAGGCCATCCTCACTTTTTCTCCATTCATTCATTGCATCTTTACCTTTAAAAGAATATCCTCCCCTCAAAACAAAAGCGCTCCTTTTAAAGGTAGGCTAGTAGGGCCCTCCCTGGTGGCGCAGTAGGTTAAACCGCAGCACTAGGAGACTAAGGCCATTTCAGCATGAGTTCGATCCCCCATCCCGGAGGTGACCCACATGGCATGGCAGACCTCTCCTGGCCCGCTTGCTGCTCCCCTTAGAGAGTACCTCATCTGTAGACCTGTTCTGCTCCCCACTCTGTTTCTGGTGAAGCCTCTCACTCCCCCTGGACCTCTGGCTTATACTCCAGTTCTGTATGCATAATAAATAAATATTAAAAAAAAAAAGTAGGCTAGTAGGAGGAAGGCATCACTATTCAATATTCAGTGAAGTCGGTCCCTGAGAACCGGAGGGCAACTCCTGGTGAATTTCACCTACCCTCCAAAAGAAAAACTCAACAGAAAACTAGAAACATGACCATTTTTTTTTAAAGATTTATTTATTAATGCATATAAGAACTAGGGTGTAGGCCAGAGTTGGGGGCTGTGAGAGGGTTCACCAAAGACAGTGGGGGGGCAGACCAGGCAGATCCACTGAAATACACCGCTGAGGGGAGCAGCAGATGATACTGGAGAGGTCTGCTGTGCCCTATGGGTCAACTCCCTGGCCAGATTGAACTCAGGCTGCAGTGGCTGGCAGTATCTTGATAGCTCTGTGTCTTTAACCCCTATACCACCAGGGAAGCCCAACAATGACCACTCTTTAAAAAAAAAAAGTTTATTTATTTATGCATACAGAACTAGGGTATGGGCCAGACAGTGAGAGGGTTCACCAGAGACAGAGTGGGGAGCAGAACAGGCAGATTGACAAAGTACACTGCTGAGGGGGACAGCAGGAGTGTCAGGAGAAGTCTTCTGCGCCCTGTGTATCACTTCCAGGGCTGGGGATTGAACTCCAAACTCAAATTGAGGTGGCTGTAGCTCCCTTGCAGTGCTACACTTTAACCCTTTGTGCCACCTGGGAGAGTCCCAATATGACCACTCTTAATTGCTACCTCTTCCCTTCCCAGCTACTTCCTGTGTTATAGAGATACATGGGAGGACACAGGCAAGAGTCCAGCTAATTCATGCCCTCAGATTCAGAAGCTGTGGTCCATTGGCAGATGGGTACCCCTCGGACCCAGTGAGGATGACCTTTATTCATGGTAGGAACTAGGGCAATGGCTAGGTGGGTGTGGACTCTGGAGGGAGGAGCAGAACCCCACCAAAGATCACTTAGTACCCCTACACTACTGTTTCCTTTGGTAATAACGACAGCATTTGACTGTGCCCAGCAAAATGCTTTATGTAGATTCATGTAACAATCTACTGAGGTCTATACTACTGGTCCCATTTTTGCAAAAGAAGCAGATGTTCAGAGAGATATAGTTACCTGCCCAAAGACATACATAGCCAGGTTAAAGTTACCCTCCCAAGCCATTATCCTTTAGGTTTTTCAGCAACAAGGAAGCAACTTTCTCCCAGGGTTTTTCCCACCCCCAGCAGAAACAAAGCTGCTTTCTGCCAGTCTCTCCCTCAAGGGGCGGGGCGCTCACGTCCAGCAAGGGGCGCTCACATCCAGGCCTGTCTGTCCCTGCTTCCCAGGATTTTGTGCCCGCAGCCGCCTGGGGACTATCAGCAACTCCTGACCATCGGCTTCGAGGAGCCGTCGCACATGCTGGCCACCGACCTACTGGTGCAGATCCTCACGGGCCAGACAGGCCCGGCCCGGCCGCCTAGCGCAGCAGGGTCAGCGGCGTGGGCCGCGCAGGGGTCTTGAACCTGTAAAGAGAAGGGTGGGAGCCAGGGCTTGACAGTTCCAAACTCCAGCCCGGGATAGCCTGGGAGGGGCTCACTCATTTTCCTACTACTGTTCGGTCTCGCGTTCCAAGGGGTCAGGCCAAGCTCACCTGTTTGCACCTACTTCGGGCCGGCCACAGGGCCCTGCGCGTGGACGCCAACAGTTTTATGTTAAATAAAAGAGAGAGGTCACCGGCTTAGCCTCCGCTCCGAGCGCGGCACCCCACCCCTTGGGAGGGGTCGCCCCGCCCACCCGCGCGGCCCTCTGGGAATTGTAGTCTCTGGAAAGCAAAAGTGAAGCTACGGGTCTGCGGACGAGAGCTTGGGGCATGCGCACAGTTTCACATGAAGCAAAAAGGGAAGTAACGGCTCCTGTCAACAACCGGAACCCAGAAAACCGCAAGTTTCGGCTAGCCGGGAAATACAACGCCCACTAGGGTGAAGGAGCCCGGTGCCACACCCACTCCCATATTTTGACCCGGAAATGACTTATTGGTAGCCTAAAAGACTCTATTTCCCGTCGTGCCCCGAGAACCGGCAGGCAATCAGTTTCCTAAAAACGGAAGTCGCTTATTTCTCTAGCTGCATTCGGGTGTTGAAGCCCGCAGGTCGTAGCACCCCGAGGGGTGTCCCGAACACGGGTAGTATGGGCGAGCCAGAAGGAACTCCAATTTGGGATCGCTAAGCCTCACCTCTACCTTGGATTGGAGAGGAGATCCGAGTTGAGAGAACTCACCTGACCAAAGATACGGTGAGCAGGTGTTGAGATTCCGATCCGAATTGGGTCCTTTTGATTGCCTGTGGTTCTTTGAGAGGGAGGGGTAATTGTCCTTCCGACTCGGATGTCATTCGTCTATGAGTTAGCTCCTTTAAAGTAAGCCTTTTTTGCTCCCCCTTGTCATTTTCAGAGTCTGAGAACCCTCGATGCAAAGCACTCACTTACTTAGCTAATATCTTTGTCACATAGTATAGTGTGGTAAACCTCAGTTTACAGATGAAGAAAAACGGATGTGAAAGATGACGTGAATCAGGATTGGACCCCAAAACCCTTGCTGTTTCAAGGGTAGAGGATGCCTATGATCACAGTTTCTGAGTGCATCAAGGATTATTTTAGTCTACATCTCAGGTCTCAATGAATTCAAGATGGTTCTGAGCTGAAGCTCCCTAATACTGATTCGAGATAGCCCCTGTGACCTCTTGTTTCTCCTCTTTCTCTCTCTACGACTCTCTAGAGAAGTAGACTAGACCAGCCTGATAGATTAAAGTGAGCCACAAGTGTGAGTCACATGTAATTTCAAATTTTCCTAGTAGTCAAAAAATTTTTTAAAGATTTATTTATTCACACAGAACTGGGGTACAGGCCAGAGGTGCAGGGGCAGTGAGAGGATCCACCAGAGACAGAGTGGGAGGCAGAACAGGTAGATCGACGAGGCACACTGCTGAGGGGAGCAGCCGGCGGGTCAGGAGAGGTCTGCCGCACCTTGTGGATCACCTTCGGGTTGGGCAGGGATCGAACTCATGCGGAAGTGGCTTTAGCTTCTTAGTGCCGTGCTATAACCCGCCGCGCCAACACGTAGGGTGCCTACTAGTCAATTTTTAAGGCTAATCTTAGTGACAACTTAACCCAATAGATCCAAAATATTTCAACACATAATCAATGTCAGAAATTATCGAGATTATCCTCCCTCCTTTTTTGGTATTAAGTCTTCTAAATCTGGTTTGCATTTTACCCTTACAGCACATCTCAATTTGGATGATCACATGACAACTTTAGACCATCTCCCTTTAGACAAATCCTACAGGCCACTTAATGTTTCTGTGAGGTAGTGGCAGTACTAATAGAGGGAAGAAATAAGGCTGGATCCTATTGAGTACTGTCTTCATCAGTGACTTTCAAACTTGCATATCTCAGAATCAAGTGGAGGATTTGTTTATTGAGTCTGGGATGCAACCCAAGAATGTGTATTTCTAACAAGTTTCTAAACAATGTTGATAATAGTGGTCCAGGAACCACACTTTGAGAACTACTAGCCTCAAAACTCGGCCTCGTGCCAGAATTACCTGGAGTATTCTCAAAAATACCAATGCCAAGGCTCCACAGATTCTGATGTACTTGGCATAAGGGTGCCTCAAGTGATTTTAATATACAGAAAAATTGAGAACACTGAAACAGTCTAGTCAACTCTTTACATGGCTTAATTCTTAGCTTCCTGGTGGGGAATTAAGAACAGACTCTGGTGGTTTTCATTCTCCACCTTGGCATCCCCTTCCCCCACCCTCTTTCTTTCCAGACCTCCCAGAGTTAAGGGCAAATGTGTGATCAGTGTGCTGGTGAAAAGGTTGAGTCTTGAGCTGAGCTGCTCTTGGGATACAATGTTGCTGTACAGGCATTCTTCCATCCTACCTAGACATCTGCTGTCCCTATGCAACTTCAGAGCTGTTGCTAAGGCAGGGCATTCAGAAGCAGACACATCCAATTCAAATTGTGATTTTAAATGATCCGGGATCTCAATCATTTCTGGGTCTCAATGTGTCTTTAAGAAGCGGTTGTTCTAAAAACACAGCATATAGCTAACCACAAAGACAAAGCTGTACAACTTAGGGTGTTCGTAGACCCTCTTGAATTCTGTCAGCAGGCATTTGAAACCCTTGTGACAGAGAAAAATTAAGAAGGGTTTGTCAATTGACAGCCATAAGCTCTATTGCAAACAGGTGTTTGCTGTCACCTTTCTGAGTTTACCCCCCCCCCTTAAAAAGTTTTCTAAATAGTAACAATTATTTAAGGTTCAGTAGATTTTTAAGAGCTGGGTTTCCACTGCTCTGGGAAAGCAGAAGCTCTGAAACCATACAGGCCCTTCATCCATAACACTGGTTGGAAGAATACCTACCTGCCTATTGTAAAGAAGCATTTGTTTTCTAACACACCCCCATCTTGTTCCTTAGTATTTGCCTGGCACTCTAGGCATTTGAGGTCTGCAATTTCTTTGTATGTCCTGTCAAGGAGCTTGTTGTACTCTCACCACTATCTTTTGCTATTTGTTGTAGCTATTGTTTACCTCCAAGGGGCAAGAACGACTTCTTATTGCTCCCGTCTACTCAGTGGCCAGCGCGGGGCACACTGTTGGCACGAATAAATGTTGACAAAGTCTGACGGGAGAGGACATGAGCTCATTCGTCCGAAATTCGCAGTTCGCGCCCTTGCCACCAGGAGGCAGTAGGGACCCAGGCCCAGCCCACTGGGGAAGACGGCAAACCTGGAACTAGGCGTTAAGCGCATTCTGACTTCCTGGCCTGCGCTCCGTCTGCAACAACTTACTGCTCACCTCATTCCCACCCATTCCCCAAATGATGACCACCCTGAAGAAATCAGTCTGCACTGCCCAGAAAGAAGGGGCTTTATTGAGAGAGGGGTAACAAGTGAGGCGGGGACCACTCTACCCCCCACCCCGCCTTCTTAACAGTCAACGCAGGAGGGAGAGCCTGGTTTGATTTGCAGTTATAAGTGGAATGGACAGTTTCACTGGCAGTGTTATCAGTGGTGGTGTTTCCCAATGGGGACCGACGGTTTTATAGAAGAGACTGGTCAATTTTACAAAAATCAGATTCAAGGATGGTTGATTTCATCTTCCCTGGCCGTCCGGAGGGTACTCCTGGGCGCTCTTGCCTGGGAGGCACATTCTGAAGGGCACATTCATTCAGGTTGGGGAGACACAAGTCTGCTCGAATCTCAAGGTTTCCGCTCGTCCTGAGGAGAGGTGCAGACCAGAGGCCCGCTCAGATACTCGCGCACCTTGGGTAGAAACACTCAGGCACAGGGCAGGGCGATTTAGGCTCAGAACCGCGGCCTTATCGCGTCCGGAGAGTTTCCCAGACACAAATGACTTCCCAGGGGGCGCAAGAGTTCATTTTCTCCGGCCTAGGGTTCTGGCCCCCCCCCCCATTGGGTGGGGGTGAGATGGGGATGACAAACGCCGGGGTAGTCGGGGGTGGGGGAAAAGGGGTTCCCACCTGCTCCAGGCCGTTCTCCGCGGCCCTTCTGCGAGGAGGCCAGATCACCGCCAGCTTTCCGTCGCCCCTGCACGCTTCCGGGGAAGGAGCGCTCAGCCGGGATTGCCCCTCCTTCTTACCAGCTGGTGGCGGCTGTGACTAAGGAGGCCGGCCAAGCCCCTTAAACACACACAAACACTGACACACACACCCCTCTCCCTTGGAGGGCCTCCATTCCAAGGGAGGAACCCGAGGTTGGAAGGTGAACCGAGAGGGGAAGAGTCTGAAAATTCAGAGGGATGATCCAGGAGTGCCAGAACCCAGGGAGGGTTCCCCAGAATCCAGCAAGGACATCTAGAACCCGCCCTCCCACACGAGCCTAGGTGGGGTGGATCTGGGAGCAAACCACTGTGGGGGGTGGGGTGGGGACTGGAGCACAAAGAGTGGATTGCCCAGAAGGGCTGGGCAAGAAACGGAGAGTTGGGGCGGGGGCAAGGGGGGTGTTTCAGGAGCTGAGTGCCAGGGAAACCTTAAGAATGAAGGGGCTAGCGGGAGTTGGGCAGTCGGTGAGTTGGAGCCCTGGGTGTCCCCTATGTTGGGGCTCGCATGGCTTACCCGTTAGGCTCGGAGCCGGCTCCTTGAACTCGGCGGTGCCATAGACGCTGAGCCGCTGGCGCTGCAGCTCCAATTCGCGCTCCTGCACCTCACGAACCTCCTGCTCCAGTAGTGACCGCGCAATGGGCGGCGGAGCCCGAGCGAGCACCGGGTGCCGACCCTGCACTGCCAAGCGAGGCTGGCCTCCTGACTCTGTCTTCTGTTGCGGGCTAGCGCCACACGCGCCAGCGGCCTCGAAGAAGCGCTTAAGCTCGCCCAGCCGCTGCGGCTGCGGCGGCTGCTCTGGGACAGCCCGACGCACTAGTGCCGCCTGCCGGTGGGCCTCCCGCTCGATGTCTCTTTGCATTTGTGCGCCCGCACGCGCGCGCTCCAAAGCGCGCGGGAGCGCGGGACCCGGGCCCGGCTGGGTGAGCACGGGTCGCACGCGCAGCTCGACGAGTTCTCTGCTCGCGCGACCCGGGCTCAGTCCCCGGCTCCGGCGCAGGCTCTCCTCGCGTTCGCAGCTGCGGCGGATTTCGCGCTCAATGGGCGTCTCCATGAGCGACTCCTCTCGAAGCTGTTCTGTTGTTTCAGTGCACAAAGAAAAAGATAGGCCAGAGACTGAGGAGGAGGTCTGGGTACTCAGAGAGGGACACAGTCCCAGGACCCACGCGCTTCGCGTTTCAGATGGCGCAGGTCGTCACTACCTGGCCCAGGACTCTCAAATCCCCCAAGCGCGGACAGTCCGGTGCACTCTGCACTCTGCAGGCTAGATAGTTCAAGAACTCTGCTCTCTTTTCCGAGGGTCTCTGCGCTTTGCTCTGTGGAGGGTGCAAGAACCTCTCCGTTTGGCCCGGGGGACCTCGGTGCCCTCTGCGCCAGTATCGGGGACTTCTCTGTCTGACCCTGGGGGTTCGGGGCCCCGCTCTTGAAACGACCCCAGGATTCCGCTCTCCGGTCCAGGAGCCTCGGTGTCCAGGATTGGAAGCAGTTCACGAGCCTCGGTGCTCAGCGACGGAGTTTTGACGTCTAGAGCTGACCGTGCCCTGTGCGGCACTTGTGGCCTCAGCCGCCGCCCTTGGGATCCTAAGCTTCGGCTGCACGGGCCTCTCCTCTGACCCGCCCCTGGCCTCGTAGAACAGCCCCAAGGGGCAGGCCGGGCACCGCCTCCTGCACCTGTCCAGAGGGCTCCGGCCCCGCCCCAGCCCCGCCCACGAGGTCGGGGCTCTTTGGTCACCAGATTTCGTCCACAGGCTCGCCTCCTGTCAGCTCAGGACACCGGACTTACTGAAAAAAGGCTTTCCTCGATCTGGCCTGCTACCTGGGAGACTGGTCTGGGTGTCGTGTGTTCGTCCACTCTCTGGGCGCCATCCTTTCGGCCCCGTGTCCCGCGCATTAACAGACTTAGTCCCAGTCGCGCGCCGGGCTGGGATTCTGAGCCACTAGCTCTCCGGTGAGGATGGCTCCCAAAGTCATCTTTTCCAAGCCTTGTCAGCCCCGCCCAGCCAGTGCCAATCGGCGGCGACTCTCCTGGCTTCACGTTCCAACACTGCGGCACTCCGGTCCGGCTGGCGGGGGCGCCAGGAACCACCTCACGGACGCCCAGTCTCGCTCGCTAGACTTGGAGAAGCTAGAAGCCGCGCGCCGCTGCCCGCGCCCAGCTTAGAGGCAGCTTCTCCTCACCCCCTCCAGGAAAAGTTCGCCTGGCGAACGCGGCCAAACGCGCTCCCAGAGGAGGGGTTGGGGGAGGGGCTTAAAGAGTCCGCCCAGCGCGCAGCGGAGCGGCTGCGGTTGGACGGCGGTCACCTTGGGCCAGGCTTCTGGGAAGACCCACTGGAGGTCAGAGGCAAGCAGGTTTGCAGGAAAGAGCTCCCGGCTGTTCAAGGACTGAATCAATGCCCTTGTGCTAGCGACCCACCCCAGGGACATTTATCCAACTCTGTCTACCTTGGTGACCCCCCTACCTCTTCTATTCTCTTTTACTTTCTGTTGCTGCGCCCCTCCCTCTGGTCATCTTTGTGTTTCCTTCCTCTGACCCCATTTGGCCTAAATGGAATCAGGCCCACACCTAACCTGAAAGAGCCATCGGCCCTCTCCAAGGATTTTTCAGTGCTGTGAAAGAGGATAGCAATGCCAATTGGAGGTGGGAAGGGAAGTTATACTTCTGGAAAGAGTCATCTCTATAGTTGCATCCTCTCTTTACCATTCCTGTCCATCCTCTACCATGCTCAACCGAGCTCTCACTCCCACCATCCACTGAGCCTTCTCCACCCAAGGATACTGATGACCTTATTTGCTAGACTAGGTCACTGGCTCCTTTCCATCTCCTGGATGTTGGGGACAGCACCCTCTCCGGTGGTTTCCCCCCCACCGGCCATCTGTTTCACTGACACCAAGGGACTTCCCCTCTGGCTTGCATTGGTGCTACTTGATGAGAGAGAGGAGACTCAATTAGCATGGTTATCCCACATCCTCTTCCTCGAAATTGTTTCCACTGGGTCCCTTCATTCAGAAACTGAGGTGGCTGCTTTGCCCAGCGGACTCTCCCCAGAGCCAAGGGTGGTTACAGCTCCTGGCTGTTGTTATCTGGGAGTAATACTGTCACACATCACTTCTCTTTGCAAACTGTCTATTAAATTCTTATTAGTTTCTCAATTTGAGTGTACACCTCTTTCCTGTCAGCACTCACATTCTTACCAATTCTAGTCTTGTGTTTTAAACACCCTCTCTATGCTGACGTCTCCCACATTTACAGCTCTAGTGATGGCTTAGGGCTGGTAGCTACTGTCTCCTGTCTAATAGGTGTCCAGCTGAACACTTTCAAAACTGGACTCTTGGATTCCCAAACCCACTTATCTCCAGTTTGTATGGCAATTTACACATTGTGTTTTTCATGCTTAAAACTTTGGAGTTAGCCTCAATTTCTCTTTCCCTCAACCCCTTCCTCTCATTCATTCATATACTGGATTGCTGCTGGATCTGTTGGTTCTGCCTCCAAAACTTATTCTGAATTTGACCATTCCTCTCTATCCTCATTCCAACCACTTCATAACCCTTTGATGACTCCCTCATCAACTGTCTCTGGTGAATCCTCTTGCCCCCCCTGCACCTCTGGCCTGTACCACAGTTCCAGATACATAAATAAATAAATCTGTAAAAAAAATAAAATAGGGCCCTCCCTGGTGGCGCAGCGGGTTAAAGCACAGCACTAAGAAGCTAAAGCCGCTTCTGCATGAGTTCGATTCCCGCCTGCCCCGGAGGTGACCACATGGCGTGGCAGACCTCTCCTGACCCGCCCGCTGCTCCCCTCAGCAGTGTACTTCGTCAATCTGCCTGTTCTGCTCCCCACTCTGTCTCTGGTAAATCCCCTCACCACCCTGCACCTCAGGCCTGTATCCCAGTTCTGTATGTATAAATAAATATTAAAAAATAAAATAAAATAAAAGGAGCCCTCCTCTGTTAAAGCACAATAGGTTAAAACACAGCACTGTGAAGCTGTCTGAAACCATTGCAGCACAAATTCTATTCCTGGCCAAGGAGGTTACCCATATGGCACAGCAGACCTCTCCTGACTTGCCCGCTGCTCCCCTCAGCAGTGTATTTTGGTACATCTGCCTGTTCTGCTCCCCACTCTGTCTCTGGTGAATTTTCTAACCCCTGCACCTCTGGCCTGTACCCCAGTTCTACATGCATAAATAAATAAATCTTTAAAAGAAGAAGAAGAAAAATCCAAATTCCTTACCTGGAAGGGTAAGAAAGGTCCTTCTCAGATCTCATCTTCTGATACAGTTTCCCTCCTTCACTCCTCCATTCTAGACTTTCTGGTATGTTGTACTTGATACATAAACTTAAGAATGATTACTTAGGGGCTCCCCTGGTAGTACAATGGGTTAAACCACAGCACTGCAAGCTAGCCACTGCAGCTTCATTGTGAGTTCCATCTCCAGCCCCAGGAGGTGATCAGCATAGAGTGGCAGACCTCTCCTGTCTCACCAGCTGCATCCCTCAGCAGTGTACTTTGTCGATAGATCTGCCTGTTCTACTCCCCACTCTCTCTCTGGTGGTTCCTCTCACTGCTCCTGCACCTCTGGCCTGTATCCCAGTTCTAAATCTTAAAAGAAAAAAACAAAAGGAGTCCTCCCCAGTGGTACAAAGGGTTAAAACATAGCACTATGAAGCTATCTGAAGCCACTGCAGCACAAGTTCGATCTCTGACCAAGGAGGTGGCCCATATGGCGTGGCAGACCTCTCCTAACTTACCCGCTGCTCCCCTCAGCAGTGTACTTTGTCCATATGTTCCGGTCCTCACTCTCTCTGGTGAATCCTTTTACCTCCTCTGTACCTCTGGCCTGTACCCCAGTTCTGTATGCATAAATAAACAAATCTTAAAAAACAAAGAATGATTATTTAACAACATGTATCAGATGTGTGAATAAAGACATATACTTGGAAATTGCAGTTGAGTTTGAGAGGTAGGTGCCATTAAAAGAAAACAATCCTGGAAAAAAAAAAGAAAGAAAGAAAACAATCCTGGCCCTCCCTGATGGTGCAGCAGGTTAAAGCACAGCACTAAGAAGCTAAAGCC